AACCTGAGCTACATCCGAAACTTCTGCTTCAGCCACTCTAGTAAAGATGAGCTCAGCTACTGTCTGAGCACCTTTGAAGCAGCAGTGGAGTTCATCAACCTGGGGAAGCTGCAGGAAGCCCACGGTGTAGGACAAACTCACTGCAGCGCACATAAACCGTACAACTGAGAGCAGCTGTGGAAACCGGTCTTTCCTCTCCTCCTGTAGGTCTCTGGACAAAACGACAGGAGCTTGTTGAAGAAGAGGATGAGTTTGCTGAACCAGAACACTGAAACACCCGTTCAGTGCCTGTTTGAGGTGAGCACAAACCCACATCTTTAACGCAGTTACCAAATGGACTGGAACTCCCATCACGTGTTTCTCCTTCGAACAACCTCACCTTATTTTAGATTTAAAAAAAACATTTTGTCTATCAAAGTACCCAAAAGGAGCAAAGCTTTGTGCAGAGGCAAAAATACCTGGATGAGTCTTCGTTCCCAAGTTAGTTTTGTACCACTTCCAAAGCTGAAGAGTCGTCTCGCGGTCCCGTGGTTGCGGGACGTTCGTTTTCGCTCACGCTTTTCAAAGTCTACAAGACACACGGCTCAGAGCTCCTGGGAAACGCCCCTCGCTGCAGTATACGTCACGGCACGGGTTTGTTCCGACAGGGTCTCCACTCTTTCACTGCAAGAGCTGGTCCTGATCTACCCGGGTTAAAGATCCGAGTCCTCACACTGAATCAGGCCCATGAATCTGAGGTGTAAATTAACTCAGTTCCTCTATAAACACAGCGTGAGTGGCTCAAGTGAACCGGGTTATTTTAGTGGTTCCATAAAATGAACCAGACGTACCAGCTCTAGTCCCTGCGTCTTTGACCACACAGCTCACTAGAACTCAAATGGTCTGGAAATACCTTGGGAGTCCTAAAAGAGCTGGTAGAGGTGGTTTTGGAAAGAGATGTCCGGACCTCTCTACTCAAGCTGCTGCCTTTGAGACCTGACTCCGGAACAAGCAGAAGATGATGGATGGAACTGGAGGCCAAATTCTCCACTCGACCCGTCGAAACACAGACTTTCTGGAGTCCGCCCTCGCCCCTGCCGACTCGTCTGAGACAGCCATGGCCAAAGTGGTTCAAAACATCAAAGAGGGCGGACTCCAGAAACCATCTGAGCACCATCAAACTGGTTGACCCACTGTGTGAAGGTGCTGTTTATAAGACCTGACTTAACTTTGTTGGATTGTTTTTACCTGGATTATTGAACATGAACTTTGGTGTTTTGACAGTGTTGGTTTTCCATTCCTTAGTTTCACATTTTCCTGACCTAATTTCATTACAAGCCTCAGTTGGACTTTTCGTCTTTCCAAAAACCTTGGGACCTGCAAACACTAACTCACTGCAATCTAACCTGCATGATCCCAGTCCCAGTGCAGGGGTCAACCCTCTGGCACGTATCCGTTCACCAGAAACATCCATCCATTATCTTTAACCTGCTTCTTCCTTTTCAGGTCGCGTGGGTCTCTGGTGCACATGTCCAGCAGTCACTGTGTGAGAGGCTGGGGACACCTGGACAGGTCTCTAGTCCATCACAGGGACACCTGGAGACAAACAACCATGCACTCTCTCTCACTTAGAGACAATTTAGAGTTACCAGTCAGCCTAACATGCATGTTTTTGCTCTGTGGGAGGAAACTGGAGTACCTGGAGAAAACCCAAACTCCACCCAGAAAGACCTAAAATAACCATTTCTTCAGATTTTTATCCTGCAGGATGTTTGTCTTTTACATTGTCCCATTTTCTGTCTGTGGTTTAGCATATAGCAAATGGAAACAAAGCAGAGGTGGAACATCTGCTGAGTGAAGGCCAGGTCGATGAAGATGTGAGGCCGTGTCATCCTCTCTGCTCCTGCGACCTCTGTGACGGCCAACTGTCTGGGTCAGTGTCCGCACACTTACACTTTTTTTATTTCTGTTCTTATTAAGACATCATCTTGACTTCCATCCTTTTATCCAGATAGTTTTGCTCTGGCCCTTACACTAAACCTAACAACGGCTAACCTAAATTCAATTGACACCTTGACCTTAAACCTAACCCCTAAACAAAAAAACGCGTTTTACTGTAATTGTACCAGACTTTGGTATCCATAAGAACTACCAGCTGTACTTTTAATCTCTAATAAACCAAGGTGGTTACAAACTTGAACAAGTTAACAAAAACAGGCGTCACTATATAGAGTAGGGTCAAAAACAACAACAACAATAAAAAAAACAACCCTACTGATCTGACAGGAACTAGACAGAAGGTAGAATCAGAAATTCATGGGTGGCCAGGTCACACAACAAGTACTAGAACAGAACAAGAATACTGGACTGCTGAGACAACAAGTGGCATTAGGTTAGTGGAGCAGGTGAGTCTATAAAGTATTCAGTGTCTGTATGTAAATGTGTGTAATGTATGTAAAGTCTACAATATAAAAAAAGTTTATCCATAATTACAACCTTAAATACCAAACATTTCCACACTTACCGTTAATCACTAAAGAGCTTTTAGTGCTAGCTCAGGACTGGTGCTAGCGCTGGTTCTTTACTGGTTCAAATTAAGAGCCTGGTTGTTTTTCCACAGCCACTGAGCCAACTCGGATATGTGTTATTGCGTTACATTAAATCTCTCTTTCAGTAAATGCATTTCTTCTTCCGTTGTCTGAGCTGGAAACGATAGAGAACAAACCCAGCAGCTCTGGAAATCATGGCAAACCTGGAAAACCATCCCTCCGCCCCCTGGCTGCACCGAGAAACTCTGTCCATAAACGTTATGAACAGAATCATGACAGCGGGCAGCCCTGGTGGAGTCCAACTCACACCCTGAAGGGTTCTGACTTGCTACTGGCAATGCGAACCAAACTCTCACACCGCTTGTATAGGGTTCGAACAGCTCGTAGCAACGGGCCCCCAATCCCATACTCACGGAGCACCCCCCACAGTGTACCTCGAGGAACACGGTCGAATGCCTTCTCCAAGTCCACAAAACACATGTAGACTGGATGGGCAAACTCCCATGACCCCTCGAGGACCCTAGTGAGAGTAAAGAGCTGGTCTAGTGTTCCACGGCCAGGACGAGCCCGCATTGTTCCTCCTGGATCTGAGGTTCAACAAATGATCTGACTCTCTTCTCCAGTACCCCTGAACAGGGAGGCTAAGGAGAGTGATGCCCCTATAATTAGAACACACCCTCTAGTCCCCCTTTTTGAAGAGGGGAACCACCACCCCAGTCTGCCAACCCAGTGGCATTGCTCCCGAATTCCACGCCGTGTTGCAAAGGCGTGTCAACCAAGACAGCCCCACAACATTCAGAGCCTTAAGGAAATCAGGTTGAATCTCATCCACCCCCAGAGACCTGCCACCGCAGAGCTTTTTAACTACCTCGGCGACCTCAGACATGGTTATGGACAGACCAACCCCGAAGTCCCCCGACTCAACTTCCTCCATGGAAGACGTGCCGGTGAGATTGAAAAGATCCAAGACGTAGTCCTTCCACCTCCCACACACACCACTTTCACATTTTCCATAAAGGGAAAACTCAGGGAATTTGAGAAAAACATAAAAATCAGGGTAACTGGGAATTTGAACACTGATCTGCTATTAAAATAAGATTTATCTGAGATCTTCACGTGTGCATGTATTAATGCTAGTATTCTAGTGCGATTGAGTCCATGTTCTGCTCCTACAGTGTACACAGTACATGTATCCTTACTGATTGACTCTGGTACCTTTTTGTTTCAGATGTTATACAATATAACTAATTATTAGTAATGATTGCCGTACACATGTATTGTAGGCTACAATATACTTCCTGTCATCTCTGAATGACCCTGATTTGAATAACTCCATGCTACAGTAAATTCTTTGCTCATCACCTAAGATATAAAGTTCTGAGTGTTTCACGTGACTGAAACATCTGGAATTTACTGAGGGAAAACTTGGGGGATTTTGTTTTGATGAAATACCGGGAACTCTGATATAACGTAACCTCCAGCTGTAAACTAAGCCGTTTGTCGTCGTTTCAGACGCCTGAATGATCTGTCCATCGTCACTCCGTTCTCCAGAGACGACAGAGGTTACACTCCGCTGCACGCTGCTGCTGTCTGTGGTGAGCTGCTACACACACAGGGAGCATCGTCCTTTTAGTGAAATCTAAGGCTTGTTTGGGTTTAATGTTTTAGGTCAGGCTCAACTCATCGACGTCCTGGTACGTAAAGGAGCTCCGGTTAACGCTACAGACTACCATGCCCGCACACCCCTGCACCTGGCCTGTCAGCGTGGATACCAGGGGGTCTCTGTAAGCTCTCTCCAACACCTCCACACAGTGTTTTACCTGATAAGCATCATGCATATTGATGATTACATTCATCACCTACTTTTTAGGTGCACCTCACTAATATCAGGTTGGAA